ATTATAAAATTCTCACGACGTTTCGGCCACAACGCAAGCAGCCGTCCTCAGGTGAAGAACAGGTCTGTCGGAAAGACAGCGTCTGACTACAATACCATACACTACAATACACTACACTACCATACACTACACACTACACTACAATACACTACACTACCATACACTACACACTACACTACCATACACTACACCACCATACACTACTCTACCATACACTACACACTACACTACAATACACTACAATACCATACACTATACACTACACTACCATACACTACACACTACACCACCATACACTACATTACCATACACTACACACTACACTACAATACACTACAATACCATACACTACACACTACACTACCATACACTACAATACCATACACTACACACTACACCACCATACACTGCACTACCATACACTACACACTACACCACCATACACTACACACTACACTACTATACACTACACTACCATACACTACACACTACACCACCATACACTACATTACCATACACTACCATACACTACACACTACAATACCATACACTACACACTACACTACAATACACTACAATACCATACACTACACACTACACCACCATACACTACACTACCATACACTACACACTACACTACCATACACTACAATACCATACACTACACTACCATACACTACACACTACAATACCATACACTACACTACAATACACTACCATACACTACACACTACACCACCATACACTACACTACCATACACTACACACTACACTACCATACACTACAATACCATACACTACACTACCATACACTACTATACACTACACTACCATACACTACACTACAATACACTACACTACCATACACTACACACTACACTACCATACACTACAATACCATACACTACACTACCATACACTACTATACACTACACTACCATACACTACACTACAATACCATACACTACACACTACACTACCATACACTACAATACCATACACTACACACTACACCACCATACACTACAATACCATACACTACACACTACACCACCATACACTACTCTACCATACACTACACTACCATACACTACAATGCCATACACTACACTACCATACACTACACTACCATACACTACACTACCATACACTACTCTACCATACACTACACTACCATACACTACAATACCATACACTACACTACCATACACTACACTACCATACACTACACTACCATACACTACTCTACCATACACTACTCTACCATACACTACACTACCATACACTACACTACCATACACTACACTACCATACACTACTCTACCATACATACACTACCATACACTACACTACCATACACTACACTACCATACACTACTATACACTACACTACCATACACTACAATACCATACACTACACACTACACTACCATACACTACAATACCATACACTACACACTACACCACCATACACTACTCTACCATACACTACACACTACACTACCATACACTATACACTACACTACAATACACTACTATGCACTATACACTACACATTGGGCTATATGGAAGCCTGTCGTTAAGCGATCAGTCGTTGACAGGGGTTCTACTGTATGTGAGTGCACGTCAGCCCACGAGGTGAAAGGGATGAGGCAGTGAGATCACGCGGCGCACGCAAAGATGCCGAGAGCGACGATGGCGATGAGGGCGGCGGCGACGATAACGACGAGGTGAAGCCTTACCAGCCTCCGCTGTTCCCTCTCTCGGCGCGCCTCCCTGTCGCTCCTCATCATCTCCACCTTTTCGTGGCTCGTCGTCGCAAAGAAGATGTCATGGACGTCGTAGAGAGCGGCTCTCAGCTAAGACGAAAACGACACGGCGCATCAACAGCACGCCCCATAGAGACCACGCTCCATAGAGGCCACGCCCCACAGACACCACGCCCCACAGACACCATGCCCCACAGACGCCACGCCCCACAGACACCACGCCCCACAGACACCACGCCCCACAGACACCATGCCCCACAGACGCCACGCCCCACAGACACCACGCCCCACAGACACCTCAAGTGATGTCATCGGTGGTGCTGGTGGCCATGAGCGGCAATCGAAGTCAGGTCGCCGGGTTCGTAGCGCAGCGCGCTAACCGCTACACCACCACTCCCCAAAGACAAAAGTCCCCCGTATAGCCTTTAAACAGACTGTTGGGGCAAGTGCTCTTCGCGAGGACCTATGAAGGCACGCTCGGCCGTCTCTGTCTCCCCGGTGGTGAAGTTTACACATCGCACCAGGTACTCATTTGAGGCCGAGTCAAACTAGGGGAGGCCCAGGACCAGTTCAGATAATCGTCACCGGCGTTGGCCGTGAACGGGAATCAAACTCGGGTCGCCGGGATCGTAGCGTACTAAACCGCTACACCACTGCTCCCCCCACAAACTCCCTCACGCGCACAAACACCCCCCCACACACTCACACGCTGTCTCTCACACTCGCTCTCTAACACACACTCTCACTCAAAGACACTCGCACATACACAGCGCGCACGTACACACGCACGCGTAAACACACGCGCACAAACACCCCCCCCACACACTCACACGCTGTCTCTCACACTCCCTCTCTAACACGCACTCTCGCTCAAAGACACTCGCACGTACACATGCGCACGTACACAGCGCGCACGTACACACGCGCGCGTACACACACACGTACACACACGTACACACGTACGCACACGCGTGTGTGTAGGCGGTCGCGCACACCTGAGCGAGAGCCCTCTCGTACAGCGCCGAGTCCTGCGTCGACCGAGAGCGGCGGGGAGGAGTTGCCTGCCTCAAAGAGTGCAGCAGATCCCGTGTGTCCTGTGTGGCACAGCACACACGCAGCACACACACACACAGCACACACACACAGCACACACACACACAGCACACACACACACAGCACAGCACACACACACACACAGCACACACACACACAGCACACGCACACAGCACACACGCAGCACACACACACAGCACACACACACAGCACACACACAGCACACACACACACAGCACACGCACACAGCACACACACACACACAGCAGATCCCGCGTGTCCTGTGTGGCACAGCACACACGCAGCACACACACAGCACACACACAGCACACACACAGCACACACACAGCACACGCAGCACACACGCAGCACACACGCAGCACACACACACACACAGCACACACACACAGCACACACACACAGCACACACACAGCACACACACACACAGCACACACACACACAGCACACACACACACAGCACACACACAGCACATACACAGCACACACACAGCACACACACAGCACACACACACACAGCACACACGCAGCACACACGCAGCACACTCAGCAAAGAGAAAGATCCCCCGTGTAGCCTTAACAAACTATTGGGGCAAGTGCTGTTACCGAGCACCTATGAAGGCCGGCACGACACACGAGGGGGTGGGTGGCCAGCACCACGCCCGACCGCCTTTGTCTCCCTCATGGCGATAATTACACATCGAACCCGGTACTCATTTGAGGCTGAGTTGACCTAAGGGAGGCCCAGGCCCGGTCAAAATAATCGTCACTTGTGTTGGCTGTGAGCGGGAATCGAACTCTGGTCGCCGGGTTCGTAGAGCAGTGCGCTAGTCAACGACACTACCGCACACACACACACGGGTTTCCTCCAGGTTCCACTAAAACAAAAATCCACGCATCTGTATCTGGCCTTGGCCATACATCCCAACGCTGACAAGTTTACCTGCAAACCACTCCATTGGGTTCACACACAGCGGCAACATCGCCCTCCCCCCCCGACCCCCACTGCGAAAACTTGCCAGGACCCACCCTAAAACGAGTCTTGAGACTCAACAAGCTTAACGATCGTAACAATCTTCTTGGTTCTTTCGGAAAAACATAATAAAATTTCGATTTAAAGCTTTCGTGACTGCAGGGATTCATCTTCTTGGTTCTTTCGGTAAAGTCACGTAGAAGGGAAAGCTTTAAATCAAAATTTTATTATGTTTTATTTTTATTATTTTATTACTTCCCTTAAAATTTTCCTTAAAACATAATAACATAATAATTATTTTATTAAGTTTTATTATTATTATTTTATTATTTCCCTTCTACGTGATAATTTAACGTTTTATTATTTTATTATTTCCATTCTACGTGACTTTACCGAAAGAACCAAGAAGATGAATCCCTGCAGTCACGAAAGAAGCTTTACATCGAGATCGTATCAATAACCACAGCGGCGAACGCTTCGCCCAGCGACTGCCGTCGGCCACAATTGCCGTAACGCTGCCCACGCGGCCGACGGCCTCGTAGGGAAAGTCGAGCGGCCAAACCCGACGCCAGGCACCCACCTTGACGGTCTGCTTGAGCTGCTGCACCTTCTCGGTAGCGAGAAGTCGTCGTGTGAGGAACCCTCTGGCCAACGCCGTCACTCGCTGTTCCACAGGGAGGGGTGGGTGGGTAGGTGGGTGGTGGGGGAGGTGTAGGAAGAGAGATGGTGAATGCTAGATCAGCGATAATCAGGAGAGAGCCGTGTGATACGCAGGAGAGGTCCGTGCGATACGCAGGTGAGGTCCGTGCGATACGCAGGAGAGGTCCGTGTGATACACAGGAGAGGTGCGTGTGATACGCAGGTGAGGTCCGTGCGATACGCAGGAGAGGTCCGTGTGATACACAGGAACTGGCCGTCAACAACCTCCCATGCCCGCCCCTACCTCTCCCTTGAGCCGACTGTCGTCTTTCACCGCGCGCCAGTAGCTCCCGCAAGTCACCTTCGCCCGCACTCCCATGACACCGCACAGCTCCATCTCCAGACACCTCTTCACCAGCTCGCGCTCCACCTCTCCCCCTCCTCCCCTGAGGCTGGCGAGGAGCGCCGGTGACGGCGTGGCGACGTCGTAGGACCTGTTCAGCGGAGCGGCGCGCGCCGCCCGATTCGTTTCCGAATCGGCCCGAGCCGCGGCGGCCTCGACGCCCGAACGTGGCGCCGCGCCGCCGTCGCGAGCGCGGGGAGAGCGCTCGAAGCTCCGCTCCGAGAGCCAGGCGCAAGGCGGAAAGGCGGACGGTAAAGAAGGACGTCCGGCCACAACGCCGAGGCACTCCGCAAACATTCCGTCCGCGCTGCCGCCACCGCCGAAACCTCCTCCTTCTGATCTCGTTCTTCGGTCTCCTTGTGATCCTCCCGATCGGCCTGCTTCCTCTCGTCTTCTGTCGACGATTCCTGCATCTCTGTTTCTCCCCCCGTGCACTTCGAGTCCGCGTAGGCCTTCCCCCAGCCCAAACGTTCCTTCGAATGCCACGCTCGTTCCCTCGCGTCTCATTTCTAACATTCGCTCCAATGCTCTTCCTTCTGCCTCTCCTCCGCTGGTGCCTTCTGCAACTTCTCCTCTTCGTCTTTCCTCTCCAACCATTTGTCCTTCTCCCCAGTAGATCCCTTCTCCCATCAGCCTGCCTATTCCTCCCCATCTTCCTCCTCCTCCGCTTGTTATTTCTGCTCTACGTTCCCCTCCTACTCCTCCTCCTCCTTGGCCCAGCGGCGAGGTCCTCTCCATCAGCATGAGCGCCTGCGCCTCAAGCAGCCGCGCCACCTCGCTCCACTCGTCGGCACCTCCATCGTCGCTACCGCACGCCGGCTCGCGGGCGCCCTCCGCAAGGAGCGCAGCGCTGGCCGACGCAGGAAGGAAACCGCCGCCGCTTCCACCACCACTGCCACCGTCACCACCAACACCGCCAACGCGATCGCCATCGCTACCACCGTCAATTATATTACCACCGGCGGCACTGATAACACCGCCACCACCGCCACTGCCAATGACATCAATGCCACCACTAACACCACTACCGATGACACCACCGCCACTGCCAATGACATCAATGCCACCACTAACACCACTACACATGACACCACTGCCACCACTAACACCACCACCGCCACTGCCAATGACATCAATGCCACCACTAACACCACTACACATGACACCACCGCCACTGCCAATGACATCAATGCCACCACTAACACCACTACCGATGACACCACCGCCACTGCCAATGACATCAATGCCACCACTAACACCACTACCGATGACACCACCGCCACTGCCAATGACATCAATGCCACCACTAACACCACTACACATGACACCACTGCCACCACTAACACCACCACCGCCACTGCCAATGACATCAATGCCACCACTAACACCACTACACATGACACCACCGCCACTGCCAATGACATCAATGCCACCACTAACACCACTACCGATGACACCACTGCCACCACTGCCAGTGACACCACTGCCACCACTGCCACCACCACCGCCACTGCCAATGACATCAATGCCACCACTAACACCACTACCGATGACACCACTGCTACCACTGCCAGTGACACCACTGCCACCACCACTACCACTACCGATGACACCACTGCCACCACTAACACCGCCACTGCCAATGACGCCAATGCCACCACTAACACCACTAACACCACCGCTTCCATCATCGACGACCAATTCCGCCACCGACAGACTAGGCGAGTCCGACCGTGCAGCCATCTCGGTGTAAACCCCGGCGCTCGGCTCGCCGGGAGGACGACAGCCGTCACCGTCACAACCGTCACCGCCGTCACCGCCGCCACCACCACCAGCGACGTCGTCCCCTTGCATCGCCGATTTTTCACCAGCAGTACGGAAACGATCGGCGTCAAGGTCGGAGCGGGGCACTCCAAGGGCCCCCAGCTCATCGTGGGGAGAGCCGACAGTGACGACGGCGGTGGAGCTGTTCTCCTCCTCCTCCTCATCGTCACCGTCACCATCGTCGTCGTCGTCGTCACCGTCGTCGTCGTCGTCGTCGTCGAGATGCAGCCACAGCGGGTGGTGGCGGCTCGACGTGGAGACGGTCCGGGTCAGGTCGAACGAGGACGCGGGCGACACGGCGTGATGACGGGAGACGTCGCTGCGGCTGCTGCTGCGGTGCTGGTGGTGGTGGCGCCCGCCGTCGTCGTCGTCATCTCCACGGCAGCTGCCGCCCTCGTCTCTCCGCTCCCTCTCGATGCTCGAGTCGATTCTCGAGTCATTGGCGGCGCGGTCCCGGGCCTGCGACTGGCATATGACCGCAGGTAAGATGGCCAGCTTAGGAACAGATTCGTGGGTTAGGCCCATCCGACGATGTCACCAAATCTGGGCCGTTAAGGAGAAACCTCCACCGCCCGACAACGCCAAACAAATGAGAAATTTCGATTTAAAGCTTTCGTGACTGCAGGGATTCATCTTCTTGGTTCTTTCGGTAAAGTCACGTAGAAGGGAAGTAATAAAATAATAAAAATAAAACATAATAAAATTTCGATTTAAAGCTTTCGTGACTGCAGGGATTCATCTTAATAAAATAATATTTTTATTATTTTATTACTTCCCTTCTACGTGGCTTTACCGAAAGAACCAAGAAGATATGAATGAAAAAATAATAAAAATAAAACATAATAAAATAATATTTTTATTATTTTATTACTTCCCTTCTACGTGACTTTACCGAAAGAACCAAGAAGATATGAATGAAAAAATAATAAAAATAAAACATAATAAAATAATATTTTTATTATTTTATTACTTCCCTTCTACGTGACTTTACCGAAAGAACCAAGAAGATGAATCCCTGCAGTCACGAAAGCTTTAAATCGAAATGTGAAATTGTCCAACACCATGTGAGACTAGGCCTTTTGGCGTCATCTGGTCCAACACCATGTGAGACTAGGCTCTAAGGAAAGCTGTCTCGGGTGTGGACCAATCAACTTCAAGGACAGTGCATACATTATCAGAGTTATGGTTTTTTTTTCCATTATGACTGCAGGTATTGTGGTCTATGCAAACATGACTCCTTGTAAAAAAGGTGTCAGTTTTGTTGCCAGATAAAAGGGTAAAAAACCAATTATCGTATTCTAAATTATACATTCACTTACCGAAAATTATTTCATCACTTTCTCGCATCACATTCTCTGTCATCACATTATTTCTCATCACTTTATTTCTCATCACTTTCTCTCTCTCTCCCGATGCAGCAGTCGTGTAGTTCCAGATGCGATTCGCGGACAGCAAGATCGTGAATAATGAGGCAATACTGCACATATATAAAACATAGCATTGAAAACTGAACATGAGATTACATTTGCTGTCGCTGTTACCTGTGGGTTGTTGCTGGAGGTGGTGGTGTGTGCGTGGTGCTTCTGCGCGCTGGCCCCGATTTTCCTCGTCGACTTTTCCAAAGCGGTGGCCAAAAGTTCTCTCATCTCTGCTTTCTGCTCCAATCCCAGCTAGAGTCGCGACAGAAAAAATCCTTATTGTCGAGATATCAACGCCATCATCGGCAGATGTATTCTCATACAGCAGCATCACCAGCAGAATTATCCTTATCAGCAGCAGTATCCGAATCATCAGAAATGTTTTCTCAACAGAAATAGCATCATCATCAACATAATTATACTCATCATCAGCAGCATTATCATCAGCAGAATCACTCATCAGCAGAATCACTCATCAGCAACAGTATCACCATCAGCAGAATTACATTTATCAGCAGCATCATCAGCATAAATATACTCATCAGCAGCAGCAGCATTCCTGTAACATGGCATTGTATAACCTGTGTCGATCCATCTGGCTTCTGCACACTAAGCGGGGTCATGGGTTGTTGTTGGACTCTACTTCACCACGCTGGTCAGGTGCAGTCCAGAGTAGTGTAAGGAAGATGGGCGTGTAACACATGCTGTAGCCCAGGGGTCGGGAACATTTTTGACCGGGAGAGCCATAAAAGCCAAATATTTCTAAATATATTGCATTGAGAGCCATATAGTAATTTTTACGTATAATAAATTAAATATGTCTTACTTTTAATGCGACTTCTGGTGCTGCGTGGTTTTGCTGATGGCCTTGTAGTCTGGTTCAGTGAGGTTGTGCTTCGTGCAGACGTGACCCGTGACATTTATCTTCAAAACTAATTTCTGTTTACTTTAAAATGAGACAGTATTATTAAGCAAATATCACAAGTATTTTAAAGTAGTAATAGGTTTTTACCCTTTTAACTGTACCAGTTAAAAGGGTAAAAACCTATTACTATATTTTGCCACTGGTAAAGGAGATCTCATAGTGTAAAGTATTTTAAAATCAGTTCCAAACTGATTTTTTTTTTTCAACTCAAAATTGTCTGGGAGCCACCGTAAGAGCCATATATGGCTCGCGAGCCATAGGTTCCCGACCGCTGCTATAGAGCAATTCACGACTCCGAGGCAGGTTGCTGTTAGGAGCTCACGCCACGTTTATCAAGGGCAGTGGTTCTTAACCGTGTTGGAGGTACTGAACCCCACCAGTTTCATACGTGCATTCACCGAACCCTTCTTAAGTGGAAAAATAAAATATGATTTTTTCAAATTCAAAACATAGGTATATGTTTTACTGGTGCACAATCACACGAGTCGGGTGTGTGTCTTGACCTCCGCCGAACCCCTGACACCTGACTCACCGAACCCCTGGGGTTCGATCGAACCCAGGTTAAGAACCACTGATCAAGGGCTTACGCCAGGTTGTTTTAGGGCTTCTGCCGAGCCAACACCCCCCCTAGCCAATAACTCCCCAGGGGACAGGGGACTGTGATCCCTACACCCTGGCTAACCCGGCTCTCCACCCTGCCCCGGGACTACCCCCAACCTCGGCCGGTCGGACGGAGTAGCCTCCCCTAAGCCTCGTGTGAGGACCAACTCCCCGAGTCCCAACTCCTACCCCCGACCAACCCCGGTTACATCCCGGGTCCCCCTTTAAATACCCCCCTGGGGGCATGACGTCACGTCCCGCGACGCCACTCTCTCCGAGGGCGAGCGTGACGTGATGTCACCCACTACACCTCTACACACATACTCTTAGTTCTTTCGGTAAAGTCACCATGTAGGTAAAAAAATGAAATTAATAAAAATAAAATAATAAAATCACGATGTTTCGGAGGCAACACAAGTCTCCGTCATCATGTGGGACCGTCACAGACAGATTTGCTGCATCAAGTGAGATTTGCTGTACCACTTGATACAGCAAATCTGGCTGTGACGGTCCCACCTGATGACGGAGACTTGTGTTGCCTCCGAAACGTCGTGATTTTTATTATTTTATTTTTAAATCCTTTATATTAAGTTCGCTTGCTTGCTTGCTTACGACCGTGCAAATCTTTCGGTCGTTTTTTAACCCACTTCCCGTGATCCAATCGAGCTGACATTTTGCACACAGACTCGTTGTGCGTGACAATTAATGTTCGTGAAATTTTTTTTCCAAAATTTTACACTTTTTAGGACAAAAATATTATATTTAATTACCAATTGCTTAATGGTGCAATGCAATCATCTGACCCATAGGTAGCAGCCATCTCAAGCCAGAGGACGAGAGGACTCTAGCCGCCACGCATATAAAGGATTCATAGTGAAAAACTTTGTTTTTACGGGATATACTTGTTATTAATTTTAATTTCATTTTTTTACCTACGTGACTTTACCAAAATAACTAAGAGCATGAATCCTTGCAGTCACGAAAGCTTCAAATCTAGAACCTCTACACACAATGATGAGAAATAATTTACAAACCCTTTGTTAGCCATACTTTACCAAACAGTGATTCAGTGGCAGGCTGAGTAACTGGTGGGGAAGGGAGCCCAGGACCAGTTGAGATAGTAGTATAGTAGTAGGTTTTTACCCTTTCAGCTGGTACAAAAACTGACACCTTCATACCAGTTGAAAGGGTAAAAACCTACTACTATATTTTGCCACTGGTAAAGGAGAGGTCTCATAGTGCAGTTGAGATAGTACTCACCGCGGATGTTATCCGTGGCCAGCAACTGAACTCACGTTCATATTCTTGGTTATTTCGGTAAAGTCACGTAGAAGGGAAATAATAAAATAAATAAAATATATTCTCACGACGTTTCGATTGCAACACAAGCAATCATCATCAGGTGTGAAAACCACAGCAAGATAATTTGAAGAAAAAAAACCGCCACTTTTTAAATCCTTTATATTAAGTTCGCATGCTTGCTTGCTTGCTTGCGTGCTTGCTTGCGTGCTTGCTTGCTTAGGACCGTGCAAATCTTTCGGTCGTTTTTTAACCCACTTCCCGTGATCCAATCGAGCTGACATTTTCCACACAGACTCGTTGTGCCAGACAATTAATGTTCGTGAAAAAAATTCCCAAAATTTTACACTTTTTAGGCAAAAAAAATGTATTTTACATATATTCAAATATAACTCATTCATCGCTTTGGCTGAACGTCACAGTGTAAGAGCCCAGAGCGTAACCCCTCCACAGGCCGTGGCGGAGTAGCGCAGTTGGTAGCGCCCTCGCTTCCCATGCCAAAGGTCGCGGGATCGATCCCCGCGTCCTTCACAGGCGAATATATTTTTTAATCCTTTATTTTAAGTTTGCTGCCACGCATATAAAGGATTTATAGTGAAAAACTTTGTTTTTACGGGTTTACTTGTTTTCAAATTTGCTGTGGTTTTCACACCTGATGATGATTGCTTGCGTTGCAATCGAAACGTCGTGAGAATTTTATTGTTTAATTTTTATTATTTTATTATTTCCCTTCTACGTGATGACTTTACCGAAAGAACCAAGAACATGAATCCCTGCAGTCACGAAAGCTTTAAATCGAAATTTAACTCGGGTTACAAAGTTCAGTGGACACACCAATACGCCGCAAATCAACTGGCGCAACTTATACATAGATAGAGATGTAAATGAGCGAAGAACGCTGGTGTACATCTTGTACACGTACGTGTACGTTGTCACGTTCATCGTTGGGAGAAAGCTATAGGGTGGCACACAGTGCGGTACTTGAACGACATCCATCAGGTTCTGGTTCAAAATTTAAACCTTTCCCTTCATACGATAGAAATTGGGGTCACAAAAAGACCTTAGATAGGATAGATAGAGTTCTACTTGACCTAACCAAAAAATGAATTATGAATCATAACCGTAAGTCAGAGGTCGCAAACGGGTTTTGATTCCTTAACCGTACCCGTACCCGGCCGCACCAGGGTCTCAAATGGGTACCCGTACCCGGCCGTGTAAGGGTACCCGTTCCCTACCCGTACCCGTACCCTACCCGAAATGAGTGACAAACGGTTACTCACCAGTGACTCACGGACTACACGTACCCGGCCGCACCAGGGTCGCAAACGGGTAACCGTACCTGGCCGGGTACGGGTAGCCGGGTATCGGGTAGGGTATGGGTATCGGGTACCCGGTTGCGACCTCTGCCGTAAGTTGTTTGTATTGTTGTTGTTTGTTGTTCAGTGACGAACCAGCGGAGGGAGGATGGGACGTCCGCAGAATCGTACGGAAGAGTTGGTGATCACACGACCCAGGCTCCACCCCAGGTATCTCGCTGGGTCCAGGAGGGTCGATGGGGTTTCCCCCAACTCCTCGCGGCACTTCCGGCAGAAGTCTTCGTGGTTTTCCATGTCGCAGCGTGGCGGAGCATCGGTCCTCGACTGAAATACGGCAAAACCGACAATTCATCGCCGCCGTTAAATGTCACCAATGCAGATGTCACCGTCAAAATAATCGTCGTCAATCTTACCGCAGTCGCCATTGTGATGAACATCATCATCACCGCCATCGTCATCAATATTATTACCGTGACCATTATCATCATCGCCGCTGTCATCATCATCAACATATTTATCGATTTAAAGATCATCAATGTTACCAACATCAACGTTATCACCGTCACCATCTTCGTCGTCATCAACATCAATATCAACGTAACCTGGCAATGGTGAGTGATTCTAAAATGTGCTATGAAGTAATTGGTATGCGAATCGGTTATTCATGAACCCTGTTGCATATGAATATATAATAAGTATAACCCGTAAAAACTAAGTTTTTCACTATAAATCCTTTATATGCGTGGCGGCTAGAGTCCTCTCGTCCTCTGGCTTGAGATGGCTGCCACCTATGGGTCAGATGATTGCATGCCACCATTAAGCAATTGGTAATTAAATATTTTTTTGTCCTAAAAAGTGTAAAATTTTGGAGAAAACATTTTTTCACGAACATTAATTGTCACGCACAACGAGTCTGTGTGCAAAATCTCAGCTCGATTGGATCACGGGAAGTGGGTTAAAAAACGACCGAAAGATTTGCACGGTCCTAAGCAAGCAAGCAAGTGAACTTAATATAAAGGACTTAAAAATCACGACGTTTCGGAGGCAACACAGGCTTCCGTCTTCACCTACGTGACTTTACCGAAAAAAACAGAGTATCATGGGACCCCTTGCAGTCACGAAAACTTCAAATCGAGAATTAAAGACGGACAATCCTCACGAGACCATAGAGGAGGCAGACAATACAACCAAGAGAGACAATATAAACAAGACAAACAAGAGAGTACAATTCATAATAAAGGTTTTTGGATTAGATCGCGTTATTTATAAATGTGTCATAACCCTCCAGCACCCGACAAGGCCAAACAGTAAAACATGTTTTGATTTAAAGCTTTCGTGACTGCAGGGATCCATATTCTTGGTTCTTTCGGTAAAGTCACGTAGAAGGGAAATAATAAAATAATAAAAATAAAACATAATAAAATTTTGATTTCAAGCTTTCGTGACTGCAGGGATTCATCTTCTTGGTTCTTTCGGTATAAAGTCACGTAGAAGGGAAACAATCAAATAATAGAAAAATATTCAACAATAAAAATTCTCACGACGTTTCGACTGCAACACAAAAGCAATCGTCATCAGGTGTGAAAACCACAGCGAGAAATTTTGAAAAAAAAGAAATATTTTTAACATTTTTCAAATTTTCTTGCTGTGGATTTCACACCTGATGATGATTGCTTGTGTTGCAGTCGAAACGTCGTGAGAATTTTATTGTTTCATATTTTTATTATTTTATTATTCTCCTTCTACGTGACTTTAGCGAAAGAACCAAGAAGATGAATCCCTGCAGTCACGAAAGCTTTAAATCGATATTTTATTATGTTTTATTTTTATTATTTTATTATTTCCCTTCTACGTGATGACTTTACCGAAAGAACCAAGAATATAGTAAAACATGTGTCACTGTTTTCACACCGGCGGGCTAAAGAAGTGAACTATCTTGTCCTTTGTAAAACTTGACACTTTTTTTTACTGATTGGCCGTGTCGGGTGGTGGAGGGTTACGACACATTTATAAATAACGCGATTCAAAAACCTATATTATGAATAATACTGGTCGCGAAATCCTACTACGTGTTAAATAGAGTACAATACGAAACAGACACAACAAACGAGACATTGCAAGCTATGCAATAGCAACTAGACGACACAATACAAATACTAGACTCTATTTAAAATTCGATATCAATTTAGTACAGTATTGTACACGGTGCATTAAACACTTAATTGCCCGCAGTTTAGAGTGTATATATACATTGCAAACTGAAGGACACAAACACACACTCGCATTATACGATCCATTGTTCGTAATGCTAAATTATGAATCTTGTATTAATGTACAGCTACAGTACTCACAGATACAGTTTACTGTTATTACTGCAACGCGATAAAATGCGAATCGATACGAAACGTCAATTAGTGAATTGTCACAGTTGCGAAAACAAACGAAAGGTTCTCAACATTTCACAATAAACACAAGAAGCGGCCTAACCATTAAATCGCACCACCCGACAGTACGGTACAATAACACACAACATTCCTCAACATTTTATTAACGATTTCTTAAAATTCTAAATACGGAGCGATCAACCATACCGCACAAGGAACCAAATCGTGAGGAAACGTACTTTGTAAAAATAACTAAACGTTGACTTTTGTAGGAAATTAAAAACTCGAAGCGGCGATTTCTGAGGCGGCGTTCAAAAGGAAAAAACGGCGGTGACGCGGAGCGCGCGACGAGGGCGGGAAACCACGGGCGCGATTCTTGGGTTTCAAGTTCCTGCTTAGGATTCTTGGGTTTCAAATAATCACTTGGGATTCTTGGGTTTCAAATAATCACTTGGGATTCTTGGGTTTCAACTAATCACTGAAGTTTCTTGGGTTTCAAATAATCACTTGGGATTCTTGGGTTTCAAGTTCTTGCTTAGGATTCTTGGGTTTCAAATAATCACTTGGGATTCTTGGGTTTCAACTTCTTGCTTAGGATTCTTGGGTTTCAAATAATCACTTGGGATTCTTGGGTTTCAACTTCTTGCTTAGGATTCTTGGGTTTCAAATAATCACTTGGGATTCTTGGGTTTCAACTTCTTGCTTAGGATTCTTGGGTTTCAAATAATCACTTGGGATTCTTGGGTTTCAAATAATCACTTGGGATTCTTGGGTTTCAACTAATCACTGAAGTTTCTTGGGTTTCAAATAATCACTTGGGATTCTTGGGTTTCAAGTTCTTGCTTAGGATTCTTGGGTTTCAAATAATCACTTGGGATTCTTGGGTTTCAACTTCTTGCTTAGGATTCTTGGGTTTCAAATAATCACTTGGGATTCTTGGGTTTCAAATAATCACTTGGGATTCTTGGGTTTCAACTAATCACTGAAGTTTCTTGGGTTTCAAATAATCACTTGGGATTCTTGGGTTTCAAGTTCTTGCTTAGGATTCTTGGGTTTCAAATAATCACTTGGGATTCTTGGGTTTCAACTTCTTGCTTAGGATTCTTGGGTTTCAAATAATCACTTGGGATTCTTGGGTTTCAACTTCTTGCTTAGGATTCTTGGGTTTCAAATAATCACTTGGGATTCTTGGGTTTCAAATAATCACTTGGGATTCTTGGGTTTCAACTAATCACTGAAGTTTCTTGGGTTTCAAATAATCACTTGGGATTCTTGGGTTTCAAGTTCTTGCTTAGGATTCTTGGGTTTCAAATAATCACTTGGGATTCTTGGGTTTCAACTTCTTGCTTAGGATTCTTGGGTTTCAAATAATCACTTGGGATTCTTGGGTTTCAACTTCTTGCTTAGGATTCTTGGGTTTCAAATAATCACTTGGGATTCTTGGGTTTCAACTTCTTGCTTAGGATTCTTGGGTTTCAAATAATCACTTGGGATTCTTGGGTTTCAAATAATCACTTGGGATTCTTGGGTTTCAACTAATCACTGAAGTTTCTTGGGTTTCAAATAATCACTTGGGATTCTTGGGTTTCAAGTTCTTGCTTAGGATTCTTGGGTTTCAAATAATCACTTGGGATTCTTGGGTTTCAAGTTCTTGCTTAGGATTCTTGGGTTTCAAATAATCACTTGGGATTCTTGGGTTTCAACTTCCTGCTTGGGATTCTTGGGTTTCAAATAATCACTTGGGATTCTTGGGTTTCAACTTCCTGCTTGGGATTCTTGGGTTTCAAGTTCCTACTGAAGATTCTTGGGTTTCAACTTCCTGCTTGGGATTCTTGGGTTTCAAGTTCCTACTGAAGATTCTTGGGTTTCAACTTCCTGCTTGGGATTCTTGGGTTTCAAGTTCCTACTGAAGATTCTTGGGTTTCAACTTCCTGCTTGGGATTCTTGGGTTTCAAGTTCCTACTGAAGATTCTTGGGTTTCAACTTCTCACTTAAGATTCTTGGGTTTCAACTTCCTACTGAGGATTCTTGGGTTTCAACTTCTCACTTGGGATTCTTGGGTTTCAACTTCTCACTTGGGATTCTTGGGTTTCAAGTTCCTACTGAAGATTCTTGGGTTTCAACTTCTCACTTGGGATTCTTGGGTTTCAACTTCCTACTTAGGATTCTTGGGTTTCAAGTTCTCACTTGGGATTCTTGGGTTTCAAGTGCTCACTTGGGATTCTTGGGCTTCAACTTCTCGCTGTGGTTGTCCCACCTGATGACGGTTGCCTGCGTTGCAATCGAAACGTCGTGATCGATTATTTCTCTACCCACGTGACTTTACCGAAAGAACCAAGGAGTGGACACTACTGGACACTTTGTAATGTTCCCATTCGTGCATCACGTGTCCCCGCATCTCCAGCCACGCGTTTGTGCGGTGGATGGGGTTCAGGATGGACACGTGACCTTGGTGGAAGACCAAACCCCCAGGGAAGTTTACCCAACTTGATTTTAAAAAAAAAATGAAATTTCGCGAGTCAAATATGAAACCTGGCTACCATCAAAGGTTTGTACACGAAGCCGTACAAATATACAAACAGACACAATTTCAACCGTGATGATGGTTACAAACTGAGTAATCATTGGAAAGATGTGATTAACCATGCAAAAAAGATTTAACTACACTTATTTGGCCAATCTTATTTGACAGACAACTATTACAGGTTATTGATAGACAGCCAGGCTTGTTTGACCATGTTTAGTTTGTTTCGTTTTTCACACTATTGTTATGTAGGCCAGGCGTAGTCACAAACCGTACCTCTCCATAACAAAGGCTCACCCTCTTAAGCCTCACCTTACCATATTAATAAAAAGTATGCGGCCCTTGCCCCCACCACCCTCTCCAACCATTATATAAACGGAGTGGTAGCTTCTGCAATCTCTCATTCACTTGATACAGCTGTCACTTGATACAGCTGTCACTTGATACAGCTGTCACTTGATACAGCTGTCACTTGATACAGCTGTCGTGGCTGTGACGGTACCACCTGAAGACAGAAGCTTGTGTTGCCTCCGAAACGTCGTGATTTTTATTTTATTTTACTTTTTTTAATTTTAATGTTTTTTTACCTACGTGACTTTACCGAAAAAACATAAGAATAGTCAAATATGAATTCACGTCCGAAACAAAAAATGAATCATAGACGTTGCAATTACATCTTGACTTAAAGCTGGAAGACATTTTCTATGGGTCTTTCGGTAAAGCCAAGTAGATAGAAAAAATATTTTTAAAAATGTATCAATCGTCGATTGCTTGCGTTGTGCTCGAAACGTCGTGATATTTGTATTCTTATTAAATCCTTTATATTAAGTTCACTTGCTTGCGCGCTTACGACCGTGCAAATCTTTCGGTCGTTTTTTAACCCACTTCCCGTGATCCTATCGAGCTGACATTTTGCACACAGACTCGTTGTGCGTGACAATTTATTTTCGTGAAAAACAATTTTCTCCAAAATTTTACACTTTTTAGGCATTTTTTAAAAATATGTAATTACCAATTGCTTAATGGTGGCAGGCAATCATCTGACCCATAGGTGGCAGCCATCTCAAGCCAGAGGACGAGAGGACTCTAGCCGCCACGCATATAAAGGATTTAGAGTGAAAAACTTTGTTTTTACGGGTTAAGTTTTTTTTCTGTCTACGTGGCTTTACCGGTGGGATGGGGATCACACTCAGAGAACCGCTGGGCTGGAGAATGATTGGTGTCGATTTGGTGTTTGAACATAAACACATTGTCCTGCTGCGGAGGGAGCTGGTAGGAACGTCGGGTTGCTCGGTCAATGGCCTGCAGGGTCAACGGCGGCGTGGTGTATTCCGCAAATATGCCCGACTGTGAGGGCGGGCACAAGCCGGCGTGAGTAGGTTCAACGTTGAGTTGTATAAGGGCACCACGGGGTGACCAGCCCCTCCCCACCCAGCCCCACCCTTCCCACCCCCCACCCAGCCCCACTCTCCCCACCCAGCCCCTCCCGACCCAGCCTCTCCCCACCCCTCCCACCCTCCCCACCCAGCCCCACCCCACCCAGCCTCTCCCCACCCCTCCCACCCTCCCCACCCAGCCCCACCCCACCCAGCCTCTCCCCACCCCTCCCACCCTTCCCACCCAGCCCCACCCCACCCAGCCTCTCCCCACCCAGCCCCACCCCACCCAGCCCCTCCCCACCCAGCCCCTCCCTCCCCACCCTACCCCTCCCCACCCAGCCATCCCCTCCCCACCCAGCCATCCCCTCCCCACCCACCCAGCCCCTCCCTCTCCACCCAGCCCCTCCCCACCCACCCAGCCCCTCCCTGCACGACGGACACAATAATCCCCTGTGGGCTGGTGTAACCAGGAGGTTCCTACATCGGTGGAGTTTGCGTACAGCCCCCTCTGCAGTCAAATGAACGCACACGCAAACACAAGATTCAACGGAAATGTATTTTTAAATAGAAATGAATGAAAAACACTTTTCGTTCATAAAACCCCCGTTATTAATCATCAACGTACATTGAAGGGCCCACTCTATTGCAACTTATCCCCCTTTAAAATAAAATTTCTTTACATTCTAAACCTAAGACGCGATCATTGCTAAGGCTTCAGTTGCATAAAAACACTTAGGTTATTGTGTTAACTTATCCTTTGATTTAAATAACAAAATAAGGGGAAGTCTTCACGTCATTCAATAGCACGGGGGGAGGACAAGGGGGAGAAGTCACGCGTCAATAACGGAATTAACGCAAAATCAGAGATCACATTGTGAACAAAAGTAGGATTTGGCAGGGCACGCCGTCCACTCGAAGCTGACCGATTTGCGTTCGCGGTTAAACTCTAGCGGCCGCCCTGGTTAATACTGCGGGGACATTTACCAAACAACACCCGTGCCGACGACACGGTCCAGATCTTCGCAATGAAGAAAGACATCGCGTGCAAAGTCCAGCAAAAGCTCCGCTACCCGGCACTTCACCACCCCGGAACGCTCCATTAATCGGCATCAATCGTAGCCGGCAATACGAATATTCGTTCACGCACGGTCTGTTCTCCTACAGCGATTGAATCAGGGGTCGCAACCGGGTACCCGATACCCGTACCCTACCCGATACCCGGCTACCCGTACCCGGCCGGGTACGGATACGGGTAGCCGTTTGCGACACTGGTGCGGCCGGGTACGGGTACGGGTAGGCCGTGAGTCACTGGTGAGTAACCGTTTGTCACTCATTTCGGGTAGGGTACAGGTACGGGTAGGGTACGGGTACCCGTACCCAGCCGGGTACGGGTACCCGTACCCGTTTGCGACCCTGGTGCGGCCGGGTACGGGTACGGGTAGGCCGTGAGTCACTGGTGAGTCACCGTTTGTCAC